ACCCCATGCTACTAATTATACATACTAGGTAGCAGATATCATTGTAATGGAAATAAAAACCATAGACATTGAAGATATCATTATTTTAGGGACCATAAAATAGATTTTTATAAGAAAAACGTCAGGAATTTTCCATATGGTCTTCACACCTTTAATTTCCACTATCAGAAATTTCTAAAGAATACTTAATTATGTGAAAATACATGTTATTGCATTTGGGCTGATCAGTTAGATTAGTCCAACCAAAATATCCTCCATTAGTGTGCCTAAATGTTTGTACCATCTTTTTTTCCAAACAACTTGGCCTGAAGGATAAAGACAATGCTTATCATGCCAAAACAATGTCATACTCTCTCCTATCACATGTATACCTTTTGTTGTCCCCCCAGCAAAAGGTATTTGAATTCTGCATTGACAAGGAGAGAGTTAACATGAAATACAGCCAGTATACATAATAGTAACATTATGTAGGCCATATTATTTCCTTGTTGTGTCCCCAAAATCTCAACTTGATGAGGTAGAGTTGTGATATCTCCCCAAGTCATCAGCTTATACTTCTTTTTGGGATGTCTCCTCTTAATAGGTTGTGTCTATCTTTAGACATTTCACTTGCATGGGACTTTGGGGGATGACCTCCTGACCATATGAATTGAAGCAGGAACCATCTAGCACTTAGGTCAGTTTCTAGGACACAGGCATAACTTCACCCTGAATACTTTGAAGAGCTACCATGGGTCCTCTGGCTTCTTCTGCAAATAAAGTTATTTCAACCCCTAATAGTCAAAAGAGGAACAACATTATCTGCACCTGCATTATTGTTATAGATGAGGTGATCCAAGTCTACAGGGCAAGCATGCATTCCAGGGTCCTATGCCTCTTTACAGTGACTTGTACAGAGACACAAATGAGGATATAGAGTAGCTTGAGTGTATTGCATATGTTGACTGTTTCTTGGCTCCTCAGGGGACAAACAAGATGGGGGTTGTTCACCAAAGGATTCTCATGGATCATTACTTTAGTATTCATCTTGAAGATCTCACGATGGTGTTTCCTCACAGTGCTAACTTTGCTGAATGAAGAGCACTTAGTTGAAGACATCCATCCCTAGAACCACCTTTTCTAACCATTCCTTCCATCCTTCCTGTCTTTCCTCGTCATTTTACTGCTGCCCATTGTAGCTGCAGACATGAGATCTCCTGCTCCACATTTCCTAGTTCTGGGATTCTAAGTGTTCTATAGTAAATTGTAATTATTATTTTATTTTACATAGAGGATTTACTAAAATGGCTTGCACGATGTGGTCCAGCTAGTCCAATAATGACTATCTACCAATGGAAAGTCCAAGACACCAGTAGTTGTTCATTTATGAGGCTGCATGTCTCAGCTGGTCTTTAGTATATTCCAGAATCCTGGCTATAAGTCCAGTAAAGTAATGCACTTGCTACTGAGAGCAAAAGCAAGAAGACAATGTAATTATTTTTTATAACACTTAGTTCATATAAAAATAGTCTGTGGATATAGTTGCATTTTAAGAACAGTAATTACTTGCCAGTTTGGGAGTTCATGTAAAGTATGTTAGAATCTTCATTATCTTTCTTATAAGCAAGCTGTTGGGGAAGCTTATGATTTTTCTTTAAAGACTTGGAGTCAACATCTGTCTCTTTGAAATTATCAAAGTTAGCATGGAATAAGTCAGCTATCTGTAGTAGTGCCTGGCTGACAGTCCCGAACCTTAGGACCTACCTTTAGACTAAAAAGAGGTTGAGCCGGGCGGTGGTGGTGCACACCTTTAATCCCAGCAATCGGGAGGCAGAGGCAGGTGGATCTCTGTGAGTTCGAGACCAGCCTGGTCTACTGAGCGAGTTCCAGGACATGGTCCAAAAAACAATACAGAGAAACCCTGTCTCGAAAAACCAAAAAATAAAAATAAAAAAATAATAAAAAGAGGTGATGTTCATTTAGCACTTAGTCACCTGTAAGTACTACAAAGTAGGAAAACCATATATGGGTATCATGAGTTACCTGTTCTAAAATATATGTGGATGGTGTATTAAATGTATTTGTTATTGTAGGTTTTTGCATGTGTTCCTGTGATGGGGGAAGTCCTTCTGTGTATATGTTGTCTTATTGGTTAATTAAATAAAGCATTGTTGGCCAATAGGGACGTAAGATAGGTAGGACTAGGAGTCTTCTGGGATTCTGGGAAACAGGCACAGTCAGTCACAATGTAGGACACAAAAGAGGTCTGGATCCTTTCTCCAGTAAGAGAAGACCATATGGAAATACTCAGATTAGCAGTTATGGGTTAATAATTAAAGCAGAGCTAGCCAATGAGAAATGGCCAACAGCTTCATAATTAATATAGCATCCTGTGTGTTCATTTGGGACTGATGCGGTTCTGGGACCAGGCTGGCAGAAAGCATGCATGTTACATATGGCACCCAGACTTGGGGCATAAAAGGGATTTTAGAAACAGAAGAACAGAGAGAAGCACAGCTTCTTGGCAACAATATTTTCTCGGGCGGGCTCTGTTTTTCTAGAGACAAGTTTTTCTAGAGACAAGCAGAGACTTGTGTGGCCAGTGCTGGCAGTAAACTTATGCCCATCGTCTTGGAAAGACAGCAGTTAAAACAGCCATGACTTTTAGCAGATAAAAGAAATGTGGCAAGAAAAACATAAAGATTTACAGTAAAGACAGATTTTGCTTAAAAATATACATAGGCTTGGAAGAGAAAAAGAAACAGGATAAAGTGGTTTAAAAAAAAAGAATGGCTGAGTGTGGTGGCACACACCTTTAATCCCAGCACTCCAGAGGCAGAGGCAGGCAGATTTCCATAAACAAACCCTGTCTCAGAGAAAATAAATAAATAAAAGTAAAAGAAATAGAGTAATAAAAAAGCCACATAAAGATGAAAAGTACAAAGAGAGTCTGGACACTGTGTGTTGTTGTGTCATCTTTGAGTTGTTTGACTGCTGAGGAAATAACAACTGCTAAAAGAAATGCTACTGAATTAATCCAATTTATATTTTAAAAATGCTTTGACTTCTAAATTTAAATATAAGGAGACTCCAAAGCTACAGAGAAACCCTGTCTCGAAAAACCAAAATAAATAAATAAATAAATAAATATAAGGAGAGATTACTTAGTAAAAGAGTCTTTACTTGTGTTTTCCTCAATTTCTCTCCATCATTGTATTTGAGACATATCCTCTTATTGAACCTGAAGCTCATTAATTGTTGAGATGTGCTGGCCCATAAGCATTATATATCACCTATATGTGTCCCCATTCCATAGCCCTAGGTCTAGAAGGGGTCATGAGGTCAGCCCAGGCAGAGACATGTTGTAGGCCTAGATATGCAAACTTAAAGAGTTTGGGATGAAGACAAATAACCAAGTTTTCTCACATCTTTTGTTTTACATTTTACATTTTTTTGCCATGACAATTAAAACACATCAAAAAGGAAATACAAATATTCAATGGACAGATAAAATAGCTACATGGGGGTAATATTCCACAAAGTATTCAAGTGTTATATAACTTTACATCGATTGCTATAGATGCTCCCTCTACCTCCTCCATGTGGGGATCATATCCTTGTGATAACACAAAGACGCATAACAATGTAACTCTAGGAGATCCGCATTCCTTGTGCTGCTTCCTTTACCATAAAATCTCTCAACATCTTAATATTGAGAAGTGGGCAGTGACATCTACAGTCATTCTGAAGTTTTAAACAAAATTCACAAAACTTATTCAAAGGTTTGGATGAAATGCATCTCTAATCTTGACCACCACAGAAATTCAACATTCCCTGTGTTACAAAATCCAAACACTATGCAGAAAGAAATGTGGAAACAGCTAATATTACAAGCTCAAAGAAGAGCTGGTAAAAAAGGGTTGATATAAATGTCCTGTTTATCCTTCATGAGGACCTGCATTTGCATCCGAAGAACCCATGTTAAAGGTAGGATGAGCCTCTATCTCTAATGCTGAAGATAGGGTTGTCATCAGCTTTGTCCTTCTGTCACTGAACCCTGAATATGCCTGACAAACTAGTGTGTGTGTGTGTGTGTGTGTGTGTGTGTGTGTGTGTGTGTGTGTGTGTGATTGTGGGGTGATGGCATGGTGGCAGGAACAACAAAGGCCTCACATGATAATCTATAATCAGGATGCAGAGAATACTCTGTGAGTGTCAGTTTCTTGAATACTTATGTTTGACCAGAGGGACAGATATTCACCACATGCCATACCTCCTAATCATCCTCAAACCATTCCACTAATGAGAACAAAGTTTCAAATAGCATATGAGGCTATTTCCAAGTGGAACAGGACTACTGTTTTTTCAAAGCTACTGTCCTAGCCCTAGTTACAAAAATAAAATAAAAATAGAAGAAAAACAAGGATCATTGCACATACTGCAAAGGGGTTTTCATTCTTTATATAGTAAAATATTGGGAGTCAAAATTTCACATCTGTAGCTCTCTCAGTGTTTCTTTCTTTCTTTTTTCTTTTTTGGTTTTTACGAGACAGGGTTTCTCTGTATTGTTGTGGAGGCTGTCGGTCCAGCCTGGCCTCGAACTCACAGAGATCCGCCTGCCTCTGTCTCAGTGTTTCTTTACACATTAAAATATTGTACTTGTTCGTTAAGTCTACTCTTATGAACGTACTTTACTCATTAGTATTCCTGTGTGTGTATTCATTTGGAAGTGTGTATGTGACTATCAGAAGACTGCTTTCAGGAATAGGTTCTCTATTGCCAACATAGAAGATCCAGGAAGGTAACTGAGATAATCATGTTTTCTGGCAATAAACCATTACTAGCTGATGCATCTCACTGTCCAATCACATTCATCTTTCATACCTCACAATAGAAGCAATTTAACCAATGCACTGTCACATAGCTAATACTCGTAAGAGTTCCACACACTGTAGTTTTCACTGTGAGATCATTATGGGTTTGAGCAGAATGAGAAACACAGAAATTTGGGAACATGATGCTTAAATTGAGTTTTAATTTTATTCATTCTAAGCACTTTGAGTACTTCCCCACATTTATTCCAAACAAAAAATTCTTTTGCAAATGGGGAAAAAAACCTGACTATAATAATAGTAACTATAGCCGCTCAAGGATTTGTCACATAGCCCCACATGTAAGGACTCTCACCAGGGTGAATTCTTGAGAAGATCATGACAGCAGCAACTGGGGAAGGATTTTGAACAATACTTAAATGCATACATGCAATGGGCTTCTTGTCAGTGCAATTCTTACATGAGGGTTACAGAAACTGGAGTGGTCAAGGCTTTCCCACCATGCTGAAACTGATAAGGCTTCTCACCAGTGTAAGGTCTTTTATGTTTGAGAAAATGACAAGAACAAAGAAACACATTCCCTAATGTTTACAAAGGATTTCTCTCCACTGTAAATGTTTTAATTACTCTAGTGCCATGTAGAACTAGTGGAAGCTTTCCCACAATGCTAACAAGCATGAGCCTACTGACTACTGTCAACTGTGTCATGTCTGTTAAGATGACCAGAGCAGGTGAAGGCTTTGTCAATGCTTCCATGCATACGGCCTGACTTTTGAGTGAACTCTTTCATGTCTGTTAAGATCACTAGAATGAATGAACAGTTTCCCACATTTTACATATAAAGGGTTTCTCTCTATTGGGATTTTTTTCATGCAAGTTGAGGACAAGTAGAAATGTTGGAGGTTTTTCTACGTGTTTACATGCGTAAGGTTTCTCTCAAGTGTGCTTTCTTTCATGCCTGTTACGACCCCAGGAGTCCCTGAAAGCTTTGCCACAATGCTTGCAACCATAAGGCTTCTCTTCAGTGTGAGTCCGTTCATGTTTGTTACGATTACTGGAGTCACTGAAAGCTTTGCTGCAGTGCTGGCACGCATAAGGCTTTGATCCGGTGTGCTTTCTTTCGTGTCTGTTACGACTGGTGGATTCCGTGAAAGATTCTCCACAATGCTTGCATGCATAAGGCTTCTCTCCAGTGTGCCTTCTTTCATGCGTGTTACGACTACTGGAATCACTGAAAGCTTTGCCGCAATGCTTGCATGCATAAGGCTTCTCTCTAGTGTGAATCCTCCCATGAATGATGAGATCACTGGAGCACGGAAATGCTTTTGCACACTGCTTACATGCATAAGGCTTCTCTCCAATGTGAACACTCTCATGCCTTTTTTGATGGCTGAGTTCACTGAAGGCTTTTCCACAATGCTTGCATGCATAAGGCTTCTCTCCAGTGTGCTTTCTTTCATGTCTGTTACGACTGTTGGAGTCCGTGAAAGATTCTCCACAATGCTTACATGCATAAGGCTTCTCTCCAGTGTGCCTTCTTTCGTGTGTGTTACGACTACTGGAGTCACTGAAAGCTTTGCCGCAATGCTTGCATGCATAAGGCTTCTCTCCAGTGTGAATCCTTTCATGTATGTTACGACTACTGGAGTACCTGAAAGTCTCTCCACAATGCTTGCATGCATAAGGCTTCTCTCCAGTGTGAATCCTTTCATGTATGTTACGACTACTAGAGTCCCTGAAAGCCTCTCCACAATGCTTGCATGCATAAGGCTTCTCTCTGGTGTTAAAACATTCATGTCTCTCAAGAATCATATAGTCAGGAAAATCTTTTCCACAATATTTACATGGAAAAGGCTTCTCTCCAGTATGTTTTCTTTCATGTCTGTTACGACTACTGGAGTCCCTGAAAGATTTGCTGCAATGATTGCACGCATAAGGCTTTTCTCTAGTGTGAATTCTTCCATGAATGATGAGAATACTATTGCGTGTAAATGCTTTTCCACACTCCTTACATGCATAAGGCTTCTCTCCAGTATGAAGACTCTCATGTCTTTTTTGACTACTGAGGTCACTGAAGGCTTTTCCACAATGCCTACATGCATAAGGCTTCTCTCCAGTGTGAGTCCTTTCATGTTTGTAACGGCTACTGGAGTAACTGAAGGCTTTTCCACAATGCTTACATTTATACGGTTTCACTCCAGTGTGAATCCTTTGATGAACATTCAGAACACTGAAGCTGGTGAATGCTTTTCCACAATGGCTACAAGCATAAGGCTTCTCTTCTGTGTGAGTTACTTTATGACTCTCAAAGCATTCTGTATATGTAGATGTTTTGCCACACTGCCTACCATTGTACCTTTCCTGTCCAACATGACTATTTTCATGGATGTAAAGGTCACTGGGATCAGTGAAGGATTCTTCACAGAGCTTACATACAAACTGTTTCACTTCATTATGGATCCCTTCATCATTCTGGTCATGTGTGTCACTCACAGAATCACTGTCATTGACATTGTCTCCAGTGTGACTTCTCTGCTGAGGATGATCAGAAGAGACACTCCTACAGACTTCATCACATTGCTGACATTTCCAGGGTTTCTCCTTAGAAACGTCAAGTACCTCATGTGATTCACAATGATTGATATCTTGCCAATGTCCCTGATATCTGTAAGAATTTACCATAGCTTTGGTATACACAGATAGTATCTGTGTAGTTAGGTCTCTGAGAGAGTCATGTGAGGATGAATGGCCAATGATGTTTCTTACAAGCAATGGGCTGTCATGAACTCTTACTCCAGGAGACATATCTTTACTGGTGATATTCTCTGTAACAGCTTCCTGATTTTTATCACACTCAGTATCACATTCATATCCACAGTCTTCCTCAAGCACTGGACTTCTACAAAATATGAGAAAAGCATTAGTGCAGCCAAGGCAACTATTGTTGATCAAGGATCTCTTGCTTTCTTCTCTCTTTCTCAAAAGGTATTAGCCCAGTTCGTGTGCACAAGAATACATACACATACACGAACAGGTAAAATAATTAAGAGATATAAAAGGAGTGGAAAACAGGTGGCGGCGGCGCATGCCTTAAACACCTTTAATCCCAGCACTCAGGAGGCAGAAGCAGGTGGATCTCTGTGAGTTCAAGACCAGCCTGGTCTACAGGAACTAGTTCCAGGACAGCCTCCAAAGCCACAGAGAAATCCTGCCTAAAAAAAAAACAAAAACAGAAAAAACAATACAAAACAAAAAAAGGAGTGGACCAGAAGGCAAAAGTCCTGGTGATAGTAGACAGTCATAACAATCACATAGGGCAGTGAAATACCGCGGCCTCTGGCATTCAGCATGCTAAGCATGTGTTAGTGAGTTAGTTATCAACTTGACCAATTGAGGGATATTGGAGAACAGGGATCCTCAAAGGAGAAAATGATTCAGGTTGGCCTGTAAAGAAGTCTATGGAAGCATTTTCACATTCCTGACTGACGATGGCTTAAATTATGATGTGTATTGTTACCATGGTCAGGAGAGCATGAGTTGTACCAGAGAGGTACCTGCTGAATAGTTTGGGAAACTTGACGTAAAGTAGGACACACAACTGAGAAGAGGGAACTAGAAAGGAGAAAATGGCTGCATCAGATTGAATTTGAGGAACGTCTTCGGGGGCATTCTCCTGATCACTCACTGAGGTGGAATACCCCAGGCCACTATGGGTGGGGTTACCCTACAGATGCTCGGCAGGGTTTAATAAGGCAGGTGTCTGAATAAGGGAAAAGGAACACGCCAGGAAATAGCATTCCCTTATCACCTCTAGTTCAGTTCCCGATTCCAGATTCCTGCCAGGCTTGAGTTCCTGTCCTGGCTTCCCTTTATGATGGGACTGAGACAAGGATGTGTAAGTAAAAGTGAGCTACACCCTAATTATTTTTTTGTTGTTGTTGCAAGAAAAGAAACAAAAAAGCACTTACATTCGAAGGCTCAAAATAATACACAGACATGTGGTAAACTTGTTTGGATATGATTTTTGTGTAATAAACCACTGTAAAAGTTCTTTAAGAACAAAATGTTACATGACCCACTAATGATATTAATAGATTACACAGATGAGATGCTCACATATTGACTAACAATTCATTGCTCCATTACAGGAGAATTTGTGGAGAATCATTTGTCAATAAGGTATATTTAGAATTATTGGTAAGTTCTCAGTTGTCCCATGATTCCCAAATGTTTGATATAAATTCTGTTCTACTGAATATAAATTACCCCGTATTTCTGTTGAGATTTTTGTAGTCCTCTTCAATCCTTTCTTCTAGTGTCTTCTCTAGAAGAAAATCCAGAGAATACATTATGACATGTTTATATTCAAGATAAACAGTTTGACAAACTAAGTCTTATTATATGGGTACTCACACTATATTCACCACATATTCCCTTCAAATACCAACACTACACACATAAGCAGGGCCCAGTGTTCTCTGACTGAATGGGCGATGGGAGCATGTTGAGTTTTGTTACCTATGGAGATCAGGTTGAAAAATGTCTCCTTCATCACATCTCTGTAGAGCTTCTTTTGACTGGAATCCAACAAAGCCCATTCTTCTAAGGTGAAGTCCACAGCCACATCCTCAAAGGTCACTGTCTCCTAGGAGTACACATATCAGGATGGTTAGTTCATGACTAAGTAGCTCCTATAAAAGAAAGCATTTAATTAGGGCTTGTGTACACTTTTAGAGGGGTAGTTAATTACTTCATGGTGGGCAGGAGACAGCTGTAGAGCTGGAACACATTCAAAACCAGATGAGCGGCAGGAAGAGTCATTTTTATTCAGTAGCATAGCTACTATTAGGTTGCCCATGATGGTGTATATGTCCACACACATCTGAACAACACTGAGCTCAGTGGGTTAGTAATAAAAGAAGGACAAACATGAAAAAAGACACATGAAATTAAGAGTCAGGTGTGCTTGTTTTATAAGGGGAATATATGAATAATATACATCATTTATATGTTTATAATAAGCATATATTTAAAGCTTCCTCCGTATTTAGGGATGGAGAGATGGTTCAGAGGTTAAGAGCACTGGCTGCTCTTCCATAGGCCCTGAGTTCAATTCCCAGCAACCACATGGTGGCTCACAACCATCTGCAATGAGATCTGGTGCCCTCTTCTGGTCTGTAGGCATAGATGCAGGCAGAATACTGTATACATAACAAATTATTTTTTTAAAAACAAGGTTTCTCCGTCTATAAATAAGAAAACAGTAAACGTATATTTGCAGGTCAAGGATACTGACAAGTACGTCAAATGCTTGCCATGTAAACCTGAAAGATGTGTGCTAAAGTGAGCACTTACCATTGGTGGGAATATAAAGTGCTACAGATATGTAGCTAATCAGTGTGAGCTAGCCTCAGAAACTGAAAACTGGTAACATCATCTCACCAAGAGACATCTCTCTGGACTTTACTGAAAACACTCCAAAGACTACAACAGATGCATGCACTCATGGTCATTGCTGCTGTAGTCTCAATACCTAGAAAAAGATTCAGCCTAGATCTCCATCAGCGGATAGCCACATGAAGGAGATACAGCACATAAACACAGTGGTCCCTACTGAGCAATGAAGAAAACTGAAATGAAATTTGCAGCAATGGATGTAACTGGAAATGTAATTATATTGAGTCAGGTAACCTAAGCCCACAGAGTCAAACACTGTCGGTTTCTCTTACACCGGCTTCCATCTGTCACCTCTTACCCATTTGTTTCAAAACTGGAATGAGCATGAGAATAGAAGGGGGAGAAGGAAGGAGCCATGAGACCTGTGAGTTTAGAGGAGAGGATGGCAGGGACAGTAGAACACACGTCTATGCTGGTAGAGAGGTGAATGTACTCAGGGACGGATGTATAAACTAGGAATGGGAAAGAGAATAGAGGGGGTCGTGGGATTAGCAAGGTTCAGGGTTTCCTCAACTGTACTGTCATTTCCCAGTCAGCCTGAAACACAAGTGTCCCTATAACAAAGACAAAACAAAAATAAAAAATATGGGCATGGTCATGGGAGCCTTCAATCCTAGAATGCACGAGGCAATGGATGTTGATATCTGAGCCCAAGGCTAGCCTGCTCAACACAGCAAGTTCTAAGGCTACATGGAGAAAACTTTTCACTAAAAACAATAAAAATGTAATAATTATATTTTAAAATTAAATGTGTATTAAAATACTTTCACACATGGGCAATAAATTCATTATGAATGTATTGTATACTCAAGTCCATTTTCAAATGCAAAATATTTTCCCAAAAAAGTACAAGGTACACTGATGTTTCCCAAGTTTTCAAATGGTCAGGAATTACACTACCTACAAACAAACTATCTGAAGGCTAAAGGAAAGATTGGTAACATTAAAATCTTTTCCAAAGAAATTACACTCTACAAAATTGTCATTCTCAGTCCCTTCTGCTTAAAGCAGCCTACAACCAAACAAGCAGCAGTAACAAATATACTATGCCAATTCCATGAAGCTATTTGCCAGTCACAAATGCCATTTATCATTCAACAATGTTACAAATAGCTTCCAAATTTTCAACTTCACCCCACACACACACATAAACACACACACACACACACACACACACACACACACACACACAAAATCACTGCAAACAAACAAAATGAGAAATAAATTATATTTCTCTCCTTCTTGAGACTGGTAATTCTGAGCAACAGCAGTCAGGAGAAGCAGAAGAAAAACAGTTGTACATATCCCTTAAACAAAAGGAAAAGGGAGGGAGAGGGAGGGAGAGAGGGAGGGAGGGAGAAAACAAAAGAAAAAGACACCAGAAATTAAGATTAAGGTTTTCAGAGTGGAAACATTGGATAAAATTAACTTACATCATATATTTAGGAAATTCCCTACACTAAACATATATTTAAAAGGTTTTGTTGGGCTTTTTAATAGCAAAATAATAAAACCAAAGTCTGCAGGGCTAAGTTGGATACAGGTAAGCAGGTACATATTTTCCATGCAAACCTGATTATGTCATACACTCTTTAGAAAGAGTGGAAAAGTGAACACTGACCGCTGACTGGAGTTTGAATCGCTGCAATTAGGAAGCAAATCCGTGTGAACTTGTCTCAGAGTAGAAAACAGACATACTGTTCCTCCAGTTATACATCTCTCTACATGACAAAATCCACACACTACAGCATAAACACGCATTCATGGTCAATGCTGCTCTAGTCCAATAGTTAAAAGAATCAGCCTGGATGCTCCTCGGCTGATGTCCGGATGATGGAGATGCGGCAAATGTGCTCATGAGAATCCACGCAGCAATGAAGGAAACTGAAGGGAAGATTTCAGTCAGATGGATGGACTGGAAATTAATCATACAGAGACAGTAGATTCAAGGCCACTATGTCAGGTATGGTGTTACAAGTGTTTAATCCCAGAATGCTTGAAGCAGAGAAGAGTGATATCTGAGTTCAGGACTAGCTTGGTCAAAGGGTTTCCAGGGTTGCACAGATAAAACCTGTCACCCAAAATAAACAAATAAAATCAAGGAAAGGAATAATACTATATTAACTATAAATTAAAAGTAAAATGAAAGGCTGGGTGGTGATGGCACATTCCTTTAATACCAGCACTCAGGAGGCAGAGGCCTGTAGATCTCTGTAAATTCGAAGCAAGCTTAATCTACAGAGCCAGTTCCAGGACAGCTAGGGCAGTTACACAGAGAATCACTGTCTGGAAACACCAAAATGTATAAACCACATATAAGAGTAAAATAAGTTTTTCTTCAGTCATATATAAGGGTAATAAATATAAATTTTTCTTCACTCAAGTCAACTTTCAACTAAAAACATTTTTCCATTGGGTAGAAAGCACACTTGTCTTTCTCTCAATGAATACTCTAAAAATTTCCTGAGTTGACAGAAATTACACTGTCTACCAAAACGACATATATAGAGGCCAAAGGAAAGATGAAATATTAATATTTTCCCAAAGGGTTGCAATACTATGAAGAACTATTTGTAGAATTTGCATTCCCAATCCCTTCCATCTAAAGCAGCCTACAGCCAAACAAGCAGCAGCAACAAAAACACACAGCCAATTCCATGAAGCTCCTGGTCGTCTCGACGGCCTCTTCACATTCTGTAACTTCAAAATTTTGTTTTGTTTTATTATTTGGCTTCGGTTTTTTGAGACAGGGATTCTCTTTATTGCTTTGGAGTCTGTCCTGAAACTCGCTCTTTAGACCAGGCTGGCTTGGAACACACAGCAATCCGTCTGCCTCTGCCTCCCGAGTGCTGGGATAAAAGGCGTGCGCCACCAACTCCCAGCACTTTTAAAATTCTAACTGGAGGCTCGAAGGAAAAACAAAAATCACTGCAAAACAAAATATGAAGCAAATTTAAATTTCTCTCTTTTTTTTTTTCCTGATTGGTGATTTTGAACAACTGCCATCAGGAAACTAGAAAAAAAAATCTACAATATTGTTAATGAAAACAAAAAGGAAAAGGAAAGGAAAAACTGGGGGGGAAACCATGTAGGGTGTGGTGATAAGGTTTACAGAGGTATCTGTGTGGCAAACTTCTCTAACACCAGGAGGCATGGAAAGAACTCCAAGGTGATAATAAAAAAAAAAAACTAAATCAGCACAAACAGAGGCAAAAAATGAGAAGGGAAACTAAAGAAAATTCAGGAACCTACAGAGGACAGTCTGGACTCAGCATCGCCAACCCGCCAGCTCTGGGAAATCTGTGTAGGCAACATTCATTTCAAGCACTAACCCAAGGGGGTGGGGATTGCCTGGAAGACATTTTATCAGAACAAAAAAGTGGGGATCAAGGGTGCCTCCTAAGCAGTGCTCAATTCAAGAGCACAAGGGCTCATGCTTGCCTCCTGGGCCAGACCCCATCTTCCCCTGGAATGCACAGCTCCAGGGAAAAATGCAGCTGCTGGTGCTGCAAAGGAGCTCATGTCCCAAACCCACCTCTCAGGATTCCAGCAGCCCCAAGGCACACTCACCATTTCTTGCTTCTGATGTGTCTAGGAGTCTCCCGAAGAGGCCTGCGGTCAGCAGAAACACACAGTCGCCAAACAGGTCCTCAGTAGGATTCCCTCAGCTAAGCCAAACTTCACAAAGGATTTCTGGGAAGAACATTGTGACTCTCTGTGCTACTCATTGGACAGTTCATGTTGTCCCTGATTGGCCAACTCTTCTCACTCTGCCCCCTCAGCCTAAGGCTTCTAAAACTTTTAGAAAATACCAGATTCAAGCCTTTGATGGAAGGCAGACCTCTGTGAAAGTAAAGCCATTCAGGCATGGATGGGGAGACCCTGACTCAAAATCAAACAAACATTCCAGACATTCTGGTCTTTTTGGTTGGTTAGAAAATTAGTGCTCTGTACATTCCAAAGGAGAGTACCTTTCTATTGTACTTTCCAAAAGATTTACATAATAGAAAGTCATTAGGTCAGGTACATAAGATGGCCACAGATGCTATTCGGAGGGCTAAGAAGGGCCCAAGGACTTGTAACACTCCAAACGCTCTCCCATCCCTGTGTTCTGATCTGTGAATCGACCTTACAGAAGGTTCAGCTTTAGTTCACATACATCATCCTGGAGCGTGCATACCAGGCCATTCTTCCTGATGCTGTGTCCAGGCTGAGCTAGGGACCTCTCCCAGGTCATCATCCTTGTGTTCCTAAGCTGCTGAATGTGGTTGCTGCCTCATCAATCTCGTGGCACTATTTCTAAGTGAAAGAACCCATCGTGGCCCACTAAATACACCCGGGAAGCCGCTCTAAAAATTCGAACATGTTTTCCTTAAATGCGAGGCTACTCCAGGTTGGACCAGGTTTATTCCAGGAGGGAAACCTGTCCTTACAGCTGCAACCTGCAGGGAAGGCGTGTTTTCCAGGTTATAAAACGCTTCCTCACCCACAATCCCTCCCCCATCCTACAATCTGCAACTCTCCCAAATCCCCATCGCCCCCCCTTATCATCCCCCACCTCACCGCGCGCGTCCTTCGTCAACCAGGGACGCGGTTATGACTTCGCGTTAACTGCCCAATGAGAAGCACGGGTATTCGGAAGGTGGGGCCGTTAGCGCCATGTTTGAGTCCTGGAAGCCATTGAGAGGTCTCCCGACCTTGGTGACCATGCCTCCAGCTGATGGTCGGCCCTTTACGGGCGACACCTGCGTGCATCAGAAGCAGGAGATGGTGAGTGTGACCCAGGCCTCTGGAGTCCTTAGTGGCGGGGTTGTGACGCTGCTGTGGCTCTGGTGTCTTGTGCACCACCGCCCTGAAGGTCCCCTGGCGCTGAGCAGCTGAGACTGCGGTAAAGGCCCTGCATCGTCTCACCTCCTGCTCTTATAGTGTGAGCCGAGCAAGCGGCAGGGAGGCTGGGATCCTGCCCTGCCGTTGTGAAGCTGCGTCACTCCAGTCTGGTTCTTGTTAGGATGAGTCGGGGTCTTGAACTTGAGCCTCCGTAGACTTTGCTGCCAGCAGTTAGCGCTGCTGAGACCCAGGATGTGCTGTGAAAGGGTGTGGGTGCTGAGCTCTGTTGCTGGGTCTGCCCTGCGGTATTTTCCCTGGGTCATAATATCATTTGGCTTTTGTGTTTTGTTTTGCTTTGCTTTTGATAATAGTGCAGTAAGTTCCTGGCTGAGAATGGGACAAACTTTACAGCTTTGTAGGAAGGAAAGAAATTTAAACTTGCTTTAGAATTGTTTTAGTTTAGCTCCTACTTTCTGAGGCATGAAGTGAGATTTTGGAGAAGCTCTTCCCAGCTTAGCTTATAGTGAAGAAAGCCTGGGCAAGGGTATCAGATCACTTCTAAGTAACCAGGTCTGTACCCCGGAGGCACACGCCTTTGCCTTCATACCCTGGGCTCTCTCTGATAACAGTTAACTGTCTTTTCAGACTCCTCAGGGAAACTGAGATTAAACCTCTGACACTGTAAGTCTCCACTTCAAGATATGTTTTTCTTTGTAAGAGTTTGCCATGGTCATGGTGTCTCTTCACACAAATAGAAACCATAACGAAGACAGAAGTTGGTACCAGGGACTGGGATATTGGTGTGATGGCCTGACCATGGTTTTGTTTGGAGGAATTTGGACTTAGGAACTCTGCATTAGGTACCAGGGACTGGGATGTTGGTGTGATGGCCTGACCATGGTTTGGTCTGGAGGAATTTGGACTTAGGAACTCTGCATTAGGTACCAGGGACTGGGATGTTGGTGTGATGGGCCTGACCATGGTTTTGTTTGGAGGAATTTGGACTTAGGAACTCGGCATTAGGTACCAGGGACTGGGATGTTGGTGTGATGGGCCTGACCATGGTTTGGTCTGGAAGAATTTGGACTTAGGAACTCGGCATTAGGTACCAGGGACTGGGATGTTGGTGTGATGGGCCTGACCATGGTTTTGTTTGGAGGAATTTGGACTTAGGAACTCTGCATTAGGTACCAGGGACTGGGATGTTGGTGTGATGGGCCTGACCATGGTTTGGTCTGGAAGAATTTGGACTTAGGAACTCTGCATTAGGTACCAGGGACTGGGATGTTGGTGTGATGGGCCTGACCATGGTTTTGTTTGGAGGAATTTGGGCTTAGGAACTCTGCATTAGGTACCAGGGACTGGGATGTTGGTGTGATGGGCTGACCATGGTTTGGTCTGGAGGAATTTGGGCTTAGGTGCTTTTGCATTAGGAAAGCAGTTGGAATGCTTTAAGCGCCGCTTTTTGGGCAGTGCTACTGGCAGCAGAGAAGACAGTGGTAATTATTTGGACTGTGGGTGTTGGCTTGTGAGGTTTCACAATTATTTGGACTGTGGGAGCTGGCTTGTGAGGTTTCACAATTATTTGGACTGTGGGAGCTGGCTTGTGAGGTTTCAGATTAAAGAATATTAATGCATGGCCTAGAAATGGATTTTGTGACATTTTGGATGAGAGTGTGACTGCCTTTTGACTTTGGTTGAAGTCTGCGTGAGGCTAAAGTGAAGGGATTTGGATTAATGCCGCTGGCAGAGGGAATCTGAAGATAGTCTAGTATGGAGTCTGTCATGTGGTTACTAGTGTTCAGGTTTATAAAGATTTGTAACGAAAAGGAGCGAGCTGAGCAAATATATAAATAAAAGTGAAAAGTGTACAGATTGAGAAAAGGGATGTCAGGAAGTGGAACAGAGCTAAATGCTGTGGTTAAGGAGATAAACAATAGGAAATGGAATAAAGGGAGTGATAATCTCAGGGCAAGACTCCACCCAAGAGCACTTGGGAGGCAGAGGCAGGTAGAGAGAGAGAGAGAGAGAGAGAGAGAGAGAGAGAGAGAGAGAGAGAGAGAGAGAGAGAGAGAGAGAGAGAGAGAGAGAGAGAGAGAGAGAGGAGAGAGAGAGAGGAGAGAGAGACAGAGCAAGTTCTAGGACAGCCAAGCTCAGGCAGTGAGAGTAAGAATCAAAAACAGAAAACTGGTGAAGATGAGTTGAACTAGAGAACCGATGAATTGAACTAGGGAATCATGTTCCAGCCCCAGCAAGCAGCAGAACATGTCAACTTTGGCCACATGGTTTTGGCTCTACAGTTAAGGACAGAAGAAACAGGTTATGGAATTTGCCTCCACTTCCAAGGAAATCATAAAATAGCCAGATATTGTGGCACATGCCTCTAACCCCAACCCTCAGGTATAACACAACTAATAAAACCCCAGAAAGATATTGGGGTTCAAGTAAAGCAGCTGGCAAATAGCTCTTACCTCTACCTCAGACTGATAGAGTGATCTGGCTAGCTCCACGAATCCCGAGACTGCTGTCCTGGACGGCTGCCTCTCCTCAACTTGCCTGGAGACTAATTCCCGAGACTGACTTTGTTCTTCCTTTTATACCTCTCAAATCCTGGGAGTAAAGGCGTGCGATCCCAAGTGTTGAGATCACCTTTGTGTGAGCTCTTTCTCTTTAGGACTGGATCAGTTTCGTGTAGATCAGTGTGGCCTTGACTAACAGATCTGTCTGCCTCTGGCTCTTGAGTCCTGGGATTAAGGATGTGTGTCATCACTGGCTGGCTTGCGGCTTGCTAGTGTGGCTGCTGGGAATAAGGATGTGTGTCACCACTGCCTGGCTCTGTGGCTTGCTAGTGTGGCTGCTGGGAATAAGGATGTGTGTCACCACTGGCTGGCGCAGCGGCTTGTCTTTAGCTTCCCTTTCTGTACCCTCAGGCAAGCTTTATTACATCATATATATCGCCACACTCAGGATTTGAGGCAGGAGAATTCCAACAAATTTGAGGTCACTTTTGTCTCCCTCACAACTTGAAGGCCAGATAAAACAAAAATGAGAAACTAACAAAGACCATTCAAAATATATTTAGTAAAATTAACAGTGAATATTTATTGCATGTATTAATACAATTCATTACGACACACTATGCTTTCATCATATCCACCCTTCAAGATACAGTTTATTCACTCATCTTTTCTTTCACAGAGCATCCCCATGTCCTCCAATAGTCTCTCTATTAGCTGTCATGAATTTTTTGTTTGTTTGTTTTGTTTTTGTTGTTGTTTTTTGGTTTTGGAGACAGAATTTCTCTGTATGGCGTTGGAGGTTGTCCTGGAACTCACTTTGTACACCAGGCTGGTCTTGAACTCACAGAGATGGGCCTGTCTCTGCCTACCGAGTGCTGGGATTAATGGTGTGTGCCACCAATGGCCCGAATCTGTCATGAATTTTTGTTGTTGTACTGTTCCTGTATTGTACTTCCCACATATGAATAAAAGCACATGACAGTTTTCTTTGTCTGGATGATTTCACTTGGAGACGTCATAGTGTAATCCATTTTCCTAAAAATTTTTGCACTTGCTTATGGGAAAATAATAGCCAATTGTATGTCTGTAAGCATGTATGTATGGGTGTCTATCAGTCTGTAGATATGTAGTACAGTACATATACCATATTCTCTTCATTTGTTCATATGTTGATGAAATCTAGGATGATTCCACATCCTAGATCTTTTTGAGCAATGTTACAGTAAACATGAATGGGCATACATTTTTTATGTATACTTAATTCTTTTCCTTGTATAGCAAAGAGGGCTATTTCTGGTTCATTGGGTGGTTCAATTTAGGGGTGTGTGTGTGTGTGTTTTAATTGGGCAACTACTTTACTTTATTTTCATAATGCTTATGTTACTTTACATTCTTACTAACAATTTGTAATTGTTCCTTTTTCCTATATCTTGGTTAACATTTTTATGTTTTAAAATAATAGCTACTATAAGAATGACAAAATAGGATCTGAATATAGCTTTGGCTTCAATTTCATTGTTGGTAAATAATGTTGATCATCTTCCCCCAACATTAAGTATTTGTAATTAAAAAATAAATATTTTTATTGTGTATGTGTATGTGCATTCATGTTTATACACATACAGAGGCTGAAGGACAATTGGAAGTCAGTTCTCTGCTTCCACTGTGTGAGTTGAGTATAGGTGATTAGACTAGCTGTTAGTATTGTTGGCAAGTCTACACACTGAGCCATGCCACCTTAATGATCCACACAAATAACTGTGTTAAACTGGGTTTTAGATGTAGGCTGTACATGCAGCATTCACAGTTACTATGAATGAAAACATTAGTTACAAAAGGACATATAGGTATTTTTCAAAAGTACTTTCTGTTATTATTATTGAGACATAGTTTCAACATGTTGTTCAAGCTGGTTTCAAACATGGGGGCCACTCAGTCTCCCTGATTCAGTTTCTTAAGCAGATGGAAGCGCAGATCTATGTAACCATACCTAGATTCAAATGTACTACTTTTTAATTTTTAGGGTTACTTTATTATATGTGCATGAACATTTTACCTCCATGCATGCATGTGCATCATGGAAGTACCTGGTGGCAGTCATATGAAGTGATGGAATTCTTGGAGTTAGGATAGTTGTGAAACAACTTGTGAATGCTTGGGATCCCTCAGGTCCTCTGTAAGAGCAAGTGCTCTAAACTTCTCTTTCCAGCCCTGAAATGTATTTATTAATAATATTCTCAAATTGAGTATACGTGCTCACCCTCTTCATCAAGAAACTTAAGAGTACAGACTCTCAAAGAGCCCATCCTTATCCTTTTGTCCAAAATTCTTTCCATACAGAAAATTTTGTGTGCTGACATTTGGGATAATAATTCCTTGCATTACTTTTAGTACTTTCTATGTGGGAAAAGTGTGTGTGCATCT